CGGGTGGTTAGATCTGTTACTAGGTATGTGAGCTCAGAAGTCCGCCCACTCCTCCTGTATGGATTCAGCTCAGGTGCCCAGGTAGACAGCCACCAAGTGTGTGGTGTAGGCTCTCACTTACAGTCCTAGACAGGCATGGGTGATTGGTGTAGGCACAGGCATCTGGCTACAGCAGGGGGACACACACTGAGCAAGGCAGGGGACTGACGGCCACCCCCGAGTGTCCAGGAAGGCGTGTCCCTGTCCCCCAGAGGGCGTAGGTGGGTGGGTTTTGCAGCCGGACTATGAGCACCTAATGCTGTTGGGTGTAAGGACTGGGGCACTTCTTATTCATGGGCCTCTATCACAGGTGGCTAGGTGGCGTGGGTGGAGCCACCAGTCCTCAGGCCCCTGATGTGGGTAGGTGAAGACCCTGCTTTATGGACAGAGCAGTGTCAAATGTCAAAAACCTGTCACTTCACAGCTGAAAACAGTTGAAGAGTTCTGGTATGTACTCTGCTGTACTGTGGTAATGAGGGCCTACGCTATTGAGAGTCTATGCAGGGGAAAGGCACTCAAAGTCCATGGATCCCTTATGCCTGTGCATGGGCAAAGGAGCTGTGCCTACCCTGGGTTCCTGGCTTAGGGGAGCCGGCAGTTTATTTTTCCCGTTTGTTCACTCTCCAAGGCAGGGAGAATGGCTCCGGGCATGTGGCAGATCCTACTTCCGGACCAGGGGACTCAGCAATTGCTGAAGCTGCTCCAGGACCCACTGCACAGCAGGGAGCGGGGAGGTAAATGGGAGAGAGGTTTTTCCCTAAGGGGGGTGTTTTTGATCCATGCGATAGGCCATACGCAATTACTTATCTTCCACTGGATCAAGGGCTGCTTCTCACTGGTTCTGGGTGGCCATGTAGACTCTCTGGTGCTAGGTCTCTCCCCGGGCAGAAAACACGCCTCCCAAGCACGGCTGCTTGCCTGCCTCACGGCTCACCCACGAGCTGATCAGGCCTGAAGGGCTCAGGCAACTCCTCTCTGCTTCCAAAACGTCTCTCCCTCCCCCTGACACTCAGTCTGGCTTCTCAACTCTGCCTTTGATGTTCAGGGCTCCCAGATTGCTATATATAATAGAATCAGTTGTTTTCTCGGGTCTTTGTTGAAAGAGGTCCACTTGAAGCGTCCGACTACTCCGCCATCTTGGCCCCACCTCCCAAGTCACTTAATTGATATTCCGTGACTCAGTTTTCTCTTTTGCTGCATGAAAAGACTAGTAGTACTCTCTACACCAATCCCTAGGGGAAAAAAGATTCTATCTAGAATGATAACGAGGTTCTAT